CCCTCATCGAATCTGAAGTTTTGCCGCTTAAATAACACAGAAAACTGACTTTTTTACCTTATTTATTCTTGCAACCTAGGAAGATTTTTTTTTTCGTAAAATCCATGACTAATTCTTACAAAGCATTAAATTTGGACAAAAAAATCTTATTAAGCCGAATTTCTATTTTCATTATTTAATTTTTTACATAGCTTTAAATTTAAAGATAATAATACAAAAATGATGACTTTATACGCCTGTAACTTTTAGAATATTGACGATATAAAAAAATTCACCTTAAACTTTTTTGTGGTCCATCAGACAAGCTAAAAAATTACCATTTGACTTTTTCGTCTAACTTCAATAGTTTAGCTGAAAAAGGCAAAAAACGTAAAATTTTAAATTTAAAGCTCTGTAAAAAATTAAATAATAAAAATAGAAATTCGACTTAATAAGATTTTTTCGTCCAAGTTTAATGCTTTGTAAGATTTGGTCATGGATTTTATGAAAAAAAAATTTCTTCCTAGGTTGCAAGAATAAATAAGGTAAAAAGGTCAGTTTTCTGTGCTATTTAAGCGGCAAAACTTCAGATTCGATGAGGGACCTCTTAAAATTGAAATTATGAGCTCCGCTTTTAACAGAATATTTGTTCGGACATATTCTACGATATTTTGAGTGGAGAGCAAGAAAAAAACTATTTCGAGTTTTTTTGGCACACCCTAATGTATTATATATAATATTATGTTGCCATGAATTCGTAGGTATATTTTTTTGTTTAAAATGCAGTTGTCGGCGTTTTTTAGAGAACTCAAATATAAAAATGGTTGATTTTAAGGTTGTTTGTGCAAAAATTATTTTTTACTAATTTCTTAAAAATTTCCAATACTTAAATATAAATTATATTAGGTAAATCATTAGTTAATTCTGCACCAACAAATTACTTACCGAATTAAATCCTTTGGCAAAACATGAAAATGCAACGATTTAGTTCTTAAATTTTATTTACAATTAAAAACACAATAATTCACCATGATCCCTTTGATAAAATACACACACTAACGTAACTAAATAAGCATTTAAGCGTTGAGTTTTTTAATCAATGATATAAGGAATATTCAATCGAAATCGAGTACTAAAAAAGTTTTTTAATTTTTTCCTTGCAACGTAAAACACAAATAACGTGCGCTATTTAGCTGTGCAATTGTACAAAATTTGTCGAGTGAGACTTCTGCCTTCCTCTCTTAAAGAGAGTCTCTTTTGTGAAAAAACTACCTATTTATTTAAAAATGATGTGCAGTTCGTATGTTTTAAATGTATTGTTGACAATTCTTAAATTCACGCAATGCGTATACAAATACAATACAAATTTTAAAACGAATATCAAACGATGCTGTCAAATTCTTTTCACACAGACCTGTCACTTTTCACACAGAAATGTCACTTTACATTCGTGTTTTGCCTTGCCAATAAAAAGATTCATTTTCTAAGCAATGATGCCATTGCGAACTGTGACTTTTGCATAGTGGTCGTAGAAAAAATAATTTAACCTTTAAAAATATCATTATTACAAAATTTTAATGTATTTTTATAAATCCGGACACTTTATGTGTCTTTTATCACAATAATTGGATACATTTATTGGAAACAGAAAATCTCGATACTGCATTTCGATCTTTCACCGTTTTAAGGACTTGCTGTGCGTGTCTTATTGGCTTGATCAAAAATAGCACAGCTGAGAACATCCTTAAAGAATATTTTTTATTAAAAAGAAAAAAACAATACGAGAATGCACCATATCCATCTCTGAAACAGTGACAATATTTTTTTATCCAACTAAGCAAGAAAAGAAAACCGATTATTTTTTATTTATTAATTTTTATAAGATAAAATATTTGAAAGGCTATTTTTGAGTTTTCGTTAAAAAGACTTAAATATTTTTTATCTATTTTGCGTTCATTATAACAACGCTTTCGGTGCTGTAATGAGATGCTTTATCGCACCCAAAATTTTGATTTTATAGGTTCTCTATACTTTAAACAGCATAATATTTTGCATATTGGTTATACTATTTTTATGATTTTTCTAGTACTTACGAGACTTTTCTGGCAATAAATTTTGTTTAATACCAAAGAAAATCCTTTTTTTCTTCTTTAACATTAACAGCCGCTTATTGTAAATAAGTAAATTAAGGACGGCATGGCGAATCGATTTTGATATTAAGTGTCAAACCAATGACTGTGATACCAACTATCTAAAGTGAAATTCGACCAAATTAAATTTAAGGTATAAAATTATTTTTTTTATAGAATTTTTGCAAAATAGATAAAATAGCATGTCATAAGACCTTTTGTCGCACTCGTCCATCACAAATATTATAGATTGTCCGCGTGCGACAAAATGACGTCTTATGACATTGGTTCTTTAATAGTATTAGTTTAAGTATTTGATTTGTTCACCCTATTAAAAAACTCGCCCTGTTAACAAAAGGGATAGTTCATCGGATTTAAGATATAAGGCCCTGAAAATAATTATAATTATTAATCATTATTAATTCATTAATTATCATGTCCAGGGTAATTAAGCAAATTAAATTACCTACATTAATCAATCACAAGCGCTACTAAAGCCACTTCAGGTTAAAATTTGTACATGGAACATACGTACATAAATTAACAATTAAATCCACATAAACATTGCTACCTGTAATAAAGTTATTATGTTGTGTTTTTATATTTTTTGTTTTGGATTTAAAAAGCTTTTTTAAGCTTGGCATTCCTATATGAAGGAATTTGCTTTTAATGTTGACGGGGCTTTCGCTGATGTGTTAAAAGGAAATTAAAAAAATTAAAATAAAAAAGTTTTTCATATATCGACACTTGCTATTTGCAAAATAATAATAAACTAAAATATTTAGAGAAAGTTTTTGAATTAGTCAAAAATATCTAATTATAAGTCATATTTGACTAATTGTCATAGCGAAAAAGCAGTCACTAATAATTAGTAAAATTCTACTAAATCAAATAGTCAAATTAGTAGATTTAAATTTAAAAAAAGTTTTGACCCAGCCGGGGATTGAACTCAGGTCTGTCACTTGTCAAGCTGTTGTCATATCCCATTCGGCTATCAGCCGCTCTTATAAAAATCAATTTTATTTGTTAATAAATATTGTTCATAATATTTTAAAGTTGAATATTATTTGTGTTGCTGTTGTGAGCTAAACTTTTTTTTGCATCTGTGTTTGTTTTTATGGCCCATTTAACCATGGAGCCTAGGTATATGCATTTAATTCAAATAATACTTTGTTGTTGGCCGCAAACGATTAAAGAAATTAGTTACTTTTAACTCTCAGAAATAGTCAAAGATGGTGACTAATCTTAAATTAGTTAAACTTTAACTACACTCGCAGGCAAAATAATCGATCCACACAAATTTTCGATGAATTTCAATCGCAAATAACTTTTTTATTTGATGTCGGATTTAAACGAATATTAAAGAATATTGTAGATAAATTAATAGAGAATCATTCACAATTTAAAAAATTACTAAAAAATAGACGAACGTTTATAATAAACAGGTTTAAACAAAAATATGTTTTTTACCATAAGTTTAAGACATAGAGTGGCAAAACCGTATATTGTTCTAAATTAAGTTTTATTTATCAAGTCACATCTATTCTTAACAGTTTTGTTTTTGGTTCACCTCGATATATTTATTTTTGTGGAAAATATGAATTTTTTAAAAAAACATTGCAATTTCCAATATTTTTCTGTATGAAGGTTGCTATGGTCCATCCATGGGTTATGGAGAATGACAGTGACAGTTTTGTTGAATCATCCTATACTTTGACATGTCATACACGGCTTTCAAAAGCTATCAAATTATATTTTGCAAATTAATGTTTAAATTTTGAGGTGTCTTCTTACTTTAAAAAATGAATATGTCTCCGACTGATGTTGCCAGAGCCATTAATTTAATGAAGGATTGACGGTCACAGTATTACGTGGCAAGTGTTTTAAACGTCACAAGAAGTAAAGTACAAAGGGCAACATCAGTCGGAGACATTTTTAAAAGTATGAAGACACCTCAAAATTAACACATTAATTTACAAAAAACAATTTGATAGCTTTTGAAAGCTGTATATGACATATCCAAGTATGGGATGATTCAACAAAACCTTCACTTTCATCCTCCATAGGCTATGATGTACCATAGCAACCTTAGTTCTTCATACAGGAAAAATATTGGAAATTGCAATGTTTTTAAAAAAAATCCAAATTTTTCACAAAAATAAATATATCAAGGTGAACCAAAAACAAAACTGTTAAAAAACTTAATTTAGAACAATATACGGTTTTGCCACTCTACAGAGTGTCTTAAACTTATGGTAAAAAACATCTTTTTGTTTAAACCTGTATATTATTAAAATGTGAGCGATTCTCCATTAATGTATCTACAATATTCTTTAATATTTGTTTAAATCCGAAAACAAATAAAAACGTTATTTGCGATTGAAATTCATCGAACTTTGTGTGGATCGATTATTTTGCCTGTGAGTGTATTTACGTAGTAAAAAATAACTATTCAAAAGGGAAAACGACTATTTTATTAGTAAAAAATGCTGGTACAAATTCAAATAGTAGGATTTTGAATATTTCATTTTAACATTTTTTCTATTAACACATTAGAAAAATGGCGGTCACTGTAATATATACAGCCCGTTCAGAGTAAAACCGAATATAGGAAAACGTTTTGGGCTTGGCCTCGTCTCCCTCCAACGCGCGTCACAGTAACTTGTGTGATAAACGACATGACGAAAGGTCGAGCAGGTAAGACGACCTTAGAAATAAAATAATAATAATGCAAAAAATCTCATTAGCGATGCAGGCTGTTTGCTTAGCTAATGTGTCGCGCGTTTGAGGGATGCGAGGCCACGCCCTATACGTTTCCCTGTATTCGATTTTACTCTGAACGGGCTGTACATTTCCTTTCATTGGTGTGATCTAAACTTTGAATGCTTTCAGAGATGCCAAGCGAAGAAAAAAAATAAAATCCGGTTGGCAATGGCGCCGTCCGAACCCGAAGCAGGGCGGCGGGAGAGCGAGCGAGACGGCGACGGCACCAAGGCGCCGACCGACGGGGGCGACGCCAACTGCAGGAAGTCGCCGAGCAAGACGAAGAACGGCAAGGCGGCCGCGGCGGCCAAGGAGAACGTGACCAGGGTGGTGGTGGTGGCGCTGACGCCGGACAGGTGCCGCGAGACGTGGAACAAGAAGGTGGAGTTTTTGCTGGCGGTCGTCGGGTTCGCCGTCGATTTGGGCAACGTCTGGAGGTTCCCCTACATTTGCTATCAGAACGGAGGAGGTAAGAGTGGGAATCCCTTGCATCGAAAGTCTCAAGTTCTAAGTCGATTTGAAAGTTTGGACACCCCTGTCATTCCAAACTAATTCTGTCGCTAGATGGCGGCACAATCACTGCGATCTACGACGTACTATGCTCCACACCTCAAAGTCTCACCACGTGATCACGTTCGGAACGCAGTCTTTTGAAAATTTGGCATTTCAGGTTATGTATCTGTTAAAGTATAGTCAATGAAAGAAATAATATTTATTGTGTTACCGCTTATGTTTAAGCGTTAAAAGTTAATAAATCTTTATAGTATCACAATAACAATGGTTGCTTTAAGAATTTAGGAATATAAATACTGCATTTAATGAAATTCCAAAGTGTAAGATGCAATATAAGTGATATTTTTGTGTTAGAAAAATCTATTTTGACCAAAATAAATAAATATAGGTATACTAAATAATTGTTGAATATGGTTCAAATTAAATTAAAGCTTTTATACTTCTAATGACAAAACTTGTGCATACCTCTTGGCATACCTACTTTAAGTTAGATTATAAGAAAACAAACAATTTTTAGAGAAACTTGCAGTGTGAAAATATTTAATACTCCCATGACATGTGATTTATTAAAATTTTTAAAGTTATAATGATTTTTCGATGTAGATCAAGTTCAGTCAAAGCTTTTGAACTATTTATATTGACAAAACTTTATGTAGGTACACTTTAAGCTGGATAAGAAAAACTACCACATTTTTAAATACCATATATATTATACAGTCTTTTAAATAATCCAAAATACTTATTTATTTTGGTCAAAATAAATTTTTCCAACCTTAAAATTACAAAATTAGATGATATTTTTGTTATAATATATTAACCTACCTTTAATACATATATTCTTATTCCATAATAGAGAAGCTAGATTTTTTTTTATAAATGCTGTTTAGTTAAAATTATTTTATGGGGAAAACCAGATATTTGGACCAAATGCACAAAAATATTACTTATTTGGCACCATACACTTTAGAATTTTATTAAATGCAGTATTTATATTCTTAAGTTCTTAAACCATCCATTGTTATTGTAATGTTATAAAGATTTATACATTTTTAACTCCTAAACATAATAATATTTCTTTCGTTGACTATACTTTGACAGATACATAACCTAAAAAGCCTTAAATGACAAATTTTCAAAAGACTGCGTTCCGTACGTGGTCACGTGGTGGGACTTTGAGGTGTGGAGCATAGTACGTCAGATGTCGTTTGGAATAACAGGGGTATCCAAACTCTCAATCAGTCGGAATTAAAAATATCACATTGAATTAAAAATATCTGCTTATTTTAAAAAATTAAAATTAAATCGAATTAAAAGTTTCTCCTATGATATTTTTAATTCATTTCAAAATTTATCCCATGATATTTTTAATTTAGCGAATTAAATACAAATACAAGAAGCAGATATTTTAAATTCACAAAATTAAAAATATCTGTTTGGCATAAATTTTTAATGAAGCAAATTAAAATGTTTGTTTAACAAAAAAATACAAATACAGGGTGGTCCAGGATTAATCTGAAAAATTTTAATGATCGATAGAGCCTGAAAAAACAATAAAAACAAACCCAAAAACATTTTTTAAAAAATACACACTAACACACTAATAGCCCTTCAAAGGCAAAAAAACGTTTTTTTTTAAATAACTTCTGCTCAAATTTTGTGTACCTAGGTAAAATTTCTTACAAAAGGCCCAGCGGTGGATATTTTGTGGGGGTTTCCCCTTTTTACCCCCATATTTCGACACCACTGGATTTTATTGGAAAATCATCAGATTTCTTATTCAGTTTAGAAGCAAAACTTGTGTGTTAAATTTTCATAAGATCAGTGGTTTCGGAGACTTTAACATTTTAAAAACACCGAGTACACGGAATTTTATCATATTTTATTTTAAATCGGTAACTTGGTAACAATTATGCCACGTTATCAGTTTATAAAATATTATAAAAAGAAACTAGCGTCCAGGAGTCATCGTGCAATTGTTACTGATCCCGTCATATTTTTAGGTTGTTTTATTGTAACGTTGATTGAGGATTACAATCAACGTCTGTAATTAATAATTTAATTGTATTATAATACAAAATCAAACCAACCCAAAAACCACCCTATTGAAAGTGATTATTCCATAATTTCATTGGTAAATTTTTATTGGCCCAATACAATCGTTCAGAAAAAAAAGTTCCGTGTACACAGTGTTTTTGAAATTTTAAACTGAAATATCTCCGTTGATCTGATAAAAAATAAACATAAAAGTTTTGCTTTTAGATTGAAAAAGGATAAAAATAAATCTGATGATTTTCTAATAAAATCCAGTGGCGTCGAAAATATGAGGGTAAAAAGGGGAAACCCTTCCCAAAATCTCCGCCACTGGGCCTTTTGTTCATTATATTATCGACGGAAGCTTAACCTACACAAAATTTGAGAAGAATCGGTTTAATGGTTTAAAAATTATTTTGAAGGACTATATCTCCGTTAGTATACATTTTTGAAAAATGTTTTTGGGTTTGTGTTTATTGTTTTTTCAGGCTCTATCGATCATTAAAATTTTTCAGATTAATCCTGGACCACCCTGTATATGAAAAAGATATTTTAAATTCACTAAATTAAAAACATTAGTTTGGCATAAAAATTAAATCTAATTTTTAAATATCTGCTGTGATATTAATAATTCGCAGAATAAAAATTGATATTTTTTATCCAATTGAAAATATCACTCTATAGGGTTAACACATAAAATTAATTCCTGAATAAAACGACATTTTGATCAAATTTAATAAATTGTAAATTAACTATAATTTAAACGAAGGATATTAAGAAAAAATCGTCTCAATCTTTTTCTATTGAGTAAATTTACATTCGATATAATACACATCTGCAAACAATGAAAATTATAGCAGAACCTTGAGTATTAAAATTTTAATATTACAAGAAAATATTGAACGATTGCTTAGATATTAGAAAAAAGGTGGATTTGGCAAGATAAAAATCATCATTTATTTATTTTAAAAAATATATGATGATATAAACTTATACAGGGTGTTTCACGTTCGTGGTCCATTAAAAGTTTCTACGGAACGGCAGAAGATATACTCTCCAAAAATGAATTAGTCAAATATGACTAATTTAATAGTTATTAGTGGCTGCTTTTTCACTTGTACCCTGGTTAACCATTTAATACCATGGTATCCCAAAATTTAACAGACAATTCGTATGTAAAATTGTCCCCTGAATCCCTCAATATCGTCAAAAGTTAAAAAAAGGAGAACAGATTTTTAGATATAGTCAATTTTCCATTTATTATGGAATCGACTATATCTCAAAAAATGTTCCACTTTCATAATTTTTTACGGTATTTTCGAATTCAGGGGACAATTTTACATAAGAATTGGATGTTAAATTTTAATTAAACATGGTATTCCATGGTTAACCATGGTACAAGTGAAAAAGCAGCCACTTATAACTTTTAAATTAGTCATTTTTGACTAATTCATTTTTAGAGAGTAGATTTAAAATTTTTAAAGCGTTTATAATCTAATTAAGACTATTTTTCTAAAATATTTTGAACAAAATGCCACTTCCGGTTTGACCGGAAGTGACATGAACCTTGTTATTTTAAATATAATTTTACATTTTTAAATTCTACATAAAATTCTGAGTAAAATGACTAAACCATGTCCTATACCTAAAGTGAATAGTTTTTGAGTTATTAATTTTTTTCGTTAAAATTTGACAAATGCGCGTCAATCAAAAATAGCCTATAACTATTTTGCTATTAGGTTTGTCGAGATGGTTGTGAAATTTTTGGAAGATTGTTTAAAAGATTTTATGTCAATTCTATAACATATCTCAGGAAATTACTTGAGAAAAACCAATTTGTTAGGCTAACTTTTCAATGTAACACCCTGTATGTTTTTATATAATCAAATAGAAAAACAAGCCTTACTCAACAGTGGCGTAGCGACAGTACCGCGAACGCCCGCCAAGCGGGGGGCCCTAACCTCGTAGGGGGCCCGGCCGATACTTGCCCCAAAACATTAAAATACTTATTTCCATTTTACTTATACTAAAAATTGAATAATAATGAATGATTAATTAAAAATATCATAATTTACTAAAATGTAGGTAGGTACTGGATATTATTGGCCTACCATCACAACATAAATGTAAAACATCTAACGGAACCTTTTGATGAATTTTAAAAATCGCGCTTATTTAACAATTGACAGCGGGTTTACGCAGGAACGATTCAGAACTTGGAAACATGCGCCTAACTCTAAACAGATATGCGCATTTAGTTATGCGTATTATTCTGACAGTTCTGAAGCGTTCTCTTTGCGAACCCCTAAAATTTTGACGATTGTGATTCACAAGTTGTTAGTTTGTTTTTGTTTTATATTCGTATTGGTTCAAGTAGGTTCTTATTTGTGACTGCTTTTGATTATTTTATTTTTCCACTGTTTTACATGCGTTTCTCGCCGGTCAGCTGTGGTGAGCACAAAGTTACTTTTCGTTTATAAATAATTTAAAAAATCATGTCACCGGATGAATTATTTTTTATTTACAATATAAAACCATAAAATACCTGAAATCAGGGGACCCAGTAAGGATTTTCGCGGGGGGGCCCGAAATTTGTCGCTACGCCACTGTTACTCAACTGGAACAGTTACTGTAATAAAGTAGGCTAAATTAAGAAGTCTATTTTTGCCTTTCTGTGTTCTATGCGGGTGTATTATTAACCTAAAAGAATTTAACGATACCATAGCATGTCCTGAAACGATTATTATTGTCAAATATAATTTAATAATTACAACCGGAAAATTGACGCAAGCATAAATAATATAGTGGTATTAATATCTCATGGCGGTTGACCTTGGGCGCGCAAACGTCACAAATCCGTCAAATCGCGCTATTACTCGCCGTCCTAAAAACATACTACCCCAGGGTTGGCAATGCTAGCATCAG